ACTATTTTGGTTGCTTGTTCTCTGCATTATGGGAGACCCTGGACACTCAAGTGAGACCAGAGCTACATTGTGCTATGCACCGTACAGACATACAGTGAGAGACTGTCTCTGCCCTGAAAATCTTAACATGTAAGTAAACAAGAAGAATACAGAAGGAAGGACAACAGAAAGCTGAAGTGAGTTTGCCCAAGGACATGCTCACACAACAGATCTATTGCAGAGTGGGGAATAGGACTTGGCTTTCCTAAATTCTAGTCCTTAGTCTTTAAAGTGCTACATAGCCCTGTTTTTTGTTATTACTAAACCACACTACCTTAGGAGTCAAGGTTCTAGGAAAAAACTGAGCTGACCAAAAAGAAAGTCCCCACATAAAGATAGAAATGTAGCCGTGTTAGTCTGGGGTAGTTGAAGCAAAATGCAGGACAATGTAGCACTTTAAAGACTAACAAGATGGTTTATTAGATGATGAGCTTTCGTGGGCCAGACCCACTTCCTCAGATCAGTCTGGCCCACGAAAGCTCATCATCTAATAAACCATCTTGTTAGTCTTTAAAGTGCTACATTGTCCTGCATTTTGCTTCCACATAAAGATCTCTTCCTTCCACACAGCCAGGGTCACCGGATCAGCTACATGCATGCTTTAGCTACAAGAAAATCAATTTCAAGGGAGAAAGAAAGCCAGAAAAAAACTTGCTTTTCACATTTTTGAAAGAAAATGTTAGCAATAATGTAATCCCAGAGGAAAATTTAAATTATTTTTTTTTGCAAATTTCCATGAGCTTTGTAAATCTTCTTTCACATCTGTAGCTGCTAATCATACTGATCTGTGCAAGCTGTGTGATAGAGATGTGGACAGATGTCCTCTAGGGATTGTGAAGAGGTTACCAGACTTATTTTTACTGATCATTTTACTAGGATTTGCATCCAGATCTCACCTCCCCCTTGCACACATAAAACTTTTACAGGTGTATCTTCCTGGATGTATTGCACCCTCCTTGTAATTAATATACATTCCCACTGCATTCATTTCACATCTCACTATACACAGCATGCCAACTCTTCTTAGTATTTAATAACACTATTTCAAAAGAGGAGAGATACTGCGGTTATGATCTAATCACCAATATCTCTCCCCTGTATACATTTTTTTTTATTTTTTAAGATTGTTGTGTTTGTGCCCTGACAGATCAAATCCATGAGATAAATATAATAAGTCAGTTGTAGTAAGTCAGGTCTTTTCTTAGTATATGTAAGAAAGCAGCAATTTTCATTCAATTTTGGCAGAAGTGTCTAAAGCCACAGTTACAAGAGGCATTTTGGGTATTAGAGCTTCCTCTGTGAGCCATGCTCCATATCCTTATTATTTAATAATCCTAATATCTATGTATTCTATTTTTTCATATGGAGCCCCTCGTGAATGGGACAGGATGAGTGCAGAATATAGAGATTCCAGTGTCAATCCCATTGCTGGCTATACTAAAAGAAGGACAGGAGATACTTGATATGATTTTAATCAGGGTGTAACTTTATTTTTAGATGTCTGGGTCTACTAGGCAGATAAAAGTGTACTGATTAAGGTCTGTGGCATTGGGATTGATATAAAATTAGACCAAAAGTCAGAATCTCTCTCAGACCTGATCTACAGTAATGGGGGAGGTTGAATGAAGATATGCAACTCCATTTACTTTAATTACATAGCTGGTGTAGACTTATCTTGATTCAAATTTCCACACTTTCTCCAAAGCAGGAGGTAAACAGGAAAAAATGCTTCCCACGGCATCCTTTGCTCCTCTGAGATGTAGTGGGTATTAACTAGCCCCACTAAATCTAACTCTGGAAGATCGATACTGGCAGTGTCAATCTTCTGTCTCTAGAAGACATGGTGTTAGTGTTGCAAATCTGTTGTAGGTCCCTTGTAACAAACTGAGTTATGCCACTGTAAGGGTATGTCTACACTACAGCACTAATTCGAACTAACTTAATTCGAATTAGTTAATTCGAACTAGTGCATCTAGATCTACAAACTAGTTCGAATTAGCGTTTTGCTAATTCGAACTAGCATGTTCACATTGAGTGGACCCTGAACCGAAGTTAAGTCTGGCTGGAAGCAGTGCCAGCAGGGCATCAGGTTAGGACTTAGAGCATGGAGCTGCTGTCTCAGGCTAGCCGAGGGCTGTGCTTAAAGGGACCCGACCACCACCCCAGACAGACAATTCTCAGGGTTCCCCGCTTGCTTGTCTAACTCAATGAGGGACAGCAAAGCAGTCCTGACTTGGAGTGCCCTGAGTGCCCACACTCGGCACATCACAGCACTCAGCCATCAGCCCAGCTGCACTTGCCGCAGGCTGCCATCCGGGGGTGTCAATCGGGGGGCTGTAGGAGAGCTTCCACCCCTAAGAGCCCGCAGAGCCACCCCAGTCCTCACCATCGGGGGCTCGTACCCCATTCCTCCCTCACTTCCTTCCACTTACCCTTCCCTAGCCCCCCTTCCTGATGTACAAAATAAAGGACACGTGTGTTCAAATAGAAACTCTCTTTATTTAACAAAACTGGGGGTGGGAGGTGTGATTAACCTCTGGGGAGACTGGGAAAAGCAGGTGGGAGAGGGGAAGAGAGAGGGTGGGAGAGGGGAGGGGGAAACCTGGGAGGAGGGAGCTGGAAGGGGGAAGCCAGGGGAAGAAGGAGGAGGGGAAGTATAAAACTATGGTACGCCATAACTTCAGTACTGTGTACAGATGTGATCTCCTCACCCCAGAAAAGATGTTTTGGCCTTGGAAAGGGTTCCGAAAAGGGCAACTAAAATGATCAGGGGTTTGGAACAAGTCCCATATGAAGAGAGGCTAAAGAACCTGGGACTTTTCAGCTTAGAAAAGAGGAGACTGAGGGGGGATATGATAGAGGTCTATAAAATCATGAGTGGTGTGTAGAGAGGGTGCATAAAGAAAAGTTCTTCATTAGTTCCCATAATATAAGGACTAGAGGACACCAAATGAAATTAATGGGTAGCAGACTTAAGACTAATAAAAGAAAGTTCTTCTTCACAAAGCAAATAGTCAATCTGTGGAACTCCTTGCCACAGGAGGCTGTGAAGGCTAGAACGATAAAAGAGTTTAAAGAGAAGTTAGATAAAGTCATGGAGGTTAGATCCATGGAGTGGTATTAGCCAGGGGGTAGAAATGGTGACCCTGGCCTCCGTTTGTGGAAGGATGGAGATGGATGGCATGAGACAAATGACTTGGTCATTGTCTTCGGTTCATTCCCTCCAGGATACCTAGTGTTGGCCGCTGTCGGCGACACGCTACCTGGGCTAGATGGACCTT